TAGTGCATTTATACTCAGATGTAAAGTACTTCCTACAGACAGTAGTGACAGTATTTAAACACATGCTGCTGATGGTCAGTGACTCTTGTTAGCCGGAGCAGCTAACACTCTATGAAATACGGACTTTTGCAAACACATTCCTAACTAGCCCACATTTCTATCTTATGGTGTGAGCTAACTAGAAGGGTAAATGTACAATTTTATAACGCAATTCCAAACATGCGCGTAACGTTACCAACAAACGGAAAAGGATACAGCTTAAAACCCTTTAAAATTTCCTTGGCCCGGTCTTCGTCCGAAGACATTTCAGCAATTGTTTGTTTCCGTTTCTTATCGATGATCCAGAACCCGCTCCAATTTATAATTTACCAAGGTAACCGCACAGTTAATGAATATGCTCCTAAAATAGAGCAGGGAATAAGCAATTAACCCAGAACAGTTGGACGAGAAGAGGATAAATCCGATTCCAGTAATGCAATCAGCTAAACATACCCCTCCACTAAACGGACATCTACGACAGCCAATCAACGGCAAGGATTATCTCTACCAGCCAATCACAGAACAAGTAACAACGTGGGTGGGGCCGGTCAGATAGGGACATAAACATAGAAAATATAGACACCGCTCACTAGTGGATTGTGGATTATCTCGTCAGCCTCGCCGCCATATTGGGACGGTGAATTCGTTAGGTCCGCGTAAGAGGCTTTAATCACAGCTCAACAAAACCTGCATGTGTATTACTTACTAAATGTTATAAATTATTGCTTCAACAAACAAAATAGAGTCCATCTGTCATAAATGTTCATGACTTGTCTATGACAAGTTTGTCTCCAACACTGCAACTATTCGATTCTTACTGTGCAAAAACTAAAAATGTACATATTTGTAATTAGAGCAGATTTGCATCTACCTATTTAAAACATCTGTGTATGGATGGCTGTTATTTCTTTATTAGACATTATATTTTGTAATTAAACTGATTCTTGTCCTTTGAACAGTGTGAGTGGTTGTCTTACTTGTCCCAGTGATGGACCAGACACCTGTCCAGGGCAATCAGTTATCCTGAAGGAGCAGGCTCTATTTGCAGGGGCGGAGCTAGACTTTATTTCAACGGGTGGCCAAAGTGTTTAGGTGGCCACATTCAAATGAAGAAAACTACTGTTTTGAAACATACATTTTTGACAATTTTCATAAGCCATACACTCTCGCTCTCTCTTTGCATCTGTCTGTTACTCTACAAATTGTTTTTTTTTAGCTAATTCAAGCACACAGGAGATCTATGAGTGAAACCTGGAGATTTTATTTAACATAAATGTTCACAATGCTATAAAATATGTCTTTACAAAATATTAAACAAACCAAAAATAATGTCAAAATTTGATTATTGGTAAAAACATGTATGTTTATTCTAATTATTGTTTTGACAGCGGTTTGGTCAGATTTGTACAAATTCAGGACATTTTTAAAATCACTTGTCCAACTTCAGCAGTATTTTGTATGATTATCTTATTTATAACTGTCTAGTATGTAGTTACCGGTACACTAATTTTATTTTCCTTTTTTCATACTTTTTTTTTGTATCTGTCGAAGACTGAAAAAGAAGAATAAATGCATGACCGATGTTAAAAAAAACTCAAGTATATTAACTCAAGTATTATATATAACTCAAGTATTCAAATATTCTTTATTGTTGTTCACACCACATATTATACACAAGTATATTTATTTTCTTAAAAACTGTCAAAAATCACAAGATGCACATAGAGTCTTTATTGTCTTGTTAAATATATTTAACTGTGCTTGACTGTTTCTTGCTCTTTATTATTGTGGACTCTTATTCTACAAGGCAATCAGTTCACTGAAGCTTTAAATGAGCACTTGTTAGACAAACTGAGCGACAAATTAGAGCGATAAGCGCTGGTTAGGATCCCCGACACAAATGAGTACTACTATAGGAGCCTCAGTTCCATGTTTAGTTTTACAAAACAAAGACAAATTGCAGAGTCTGTTAGCGGGTGGCATGTGGTGCAGTTGGTAGAGCTGCCACCTCTCAGACAGAAGAAGTGATTTTAGCCTCTTTTAGGGGGTGCTCAAGCACCCCTAAATTTTAACTCAGAACCCCTGAAAATATTGAAAAAAGTTGAAAAGTTTTTTTTTTTATGCGGTTCTGGGTTTCTGTTTATTGCATGTATGATTCAATGCAACAAAATAAACACATTTAAAATATTTGTAATACTTTATTTACATAATTGCTGGATGTCCGGCCCCTGAGCTGCTGGCTTTCAGTAACTGTGGCCCCCTGAGCAGTTCTGTTAACAGCCCTGCTGTAGAGGGTGGAATACAGTTTATTTTATTTCCAAAACCTAAACTGAGTCTGGAAAAATGTAAAATATGGATAAAGCCCTGCGGCTGACCTCATGAGCTGAATACAAGTGATAAACAGGAAGTACCACATGTTCACCTGTACAAATGTAACTGCAGGTATGCTTAATGGTTAAATTAAAGGTTAATGCTTAATTGATCTTTGGTTAGTGTGTTTTTTATGTAGATATGTTGCAACTTCTGGTTGCACAAGTTTAGTCTGTTATGATCAATTACCACTGTTTTACAAAGTGGTACAAAAGGTTGTAGAATGTAAAGCAGAGCGATACATCTGTAGTATTTAGCATGTCTGTATTGCACACTTCTAGCTTAGTGCTACTTCTTGTGATGAGCCCTCTAAAATAGTTATTGAATCATAGAGGTAAACGTAGATGTTTAACAACCCGTTAACACACCGGAATGCAGGAAATGGGATCTAATTTATTCAAACATTTCTGGGGGAGGACCCTCCACCAGTGTCTCCCCCCCCACACATACACATTATGAATGCTTCTCACACCAATGACCACCACGTTGTTCAAGTATCTTTGTTGTCGTTCACATCACGTGATACACGAGGTGGAACAAAATAGTGTACTCGGGGTCCATCAAAAAATAGCAAAATATAAAGTATAAAAAGAAACAGTATAAAGATCTATGCTAAACAAATTGACCCTAGGTTCACACCTTGGGACATTCCTCATACGTTTTATACATGTTTAACTGAAACTTGGTGTGGTGGGAGCTGCGATCACCAACAACATGTAGTCGCATCATAAATTTTAAAAGGAGGCCACCCGGCAGTCCAAGTCAGTTGCTCAAGGAAATAGTTGCTGGTGAAGATTCCCCAATCGTCCAAGTCAAGATCAATCCCTCCCAAAAAGGTTAACACAAAAACTGCACTTCTATTCTGAAGCTTAAAACGTTTCATGTCCATACAGGAAGCTTCATCCATTAAACTTCTCTAATTGCTCCTTGCCATTAGTTAGATTGGCCACTAGATGTCACCAAATGTTCACTAACTGCTTCTTAAACCAGATTACTCACTACTGTTGCTTTGAAGTCCTTTTCTTCCGACAGGTTCCCTCTACAGCAGACAATATGCTGCTTGATAGATGTACAGTAATTTGGCTTTTGCTTCAATTGCTCTTTCAATCTGCTGGTGTTGGTTCACTGTGTTCTGAGGTCCAAGGTCAACGCAGCCATCTACTACGTTTAGAGCACTTCATGCTGCTGACCAACTTTATGGAGATGCAGATTTCATTTTCCAACAGGACTTGGCACCTGCACACAGTGCCAAAGCTACCAGTACCTGGTTTAAGGGCCATGGTATCCTTGTTCTCAATTGGCCAGCAAACTCACCTGACCTTAATCCCATAGAAAATCTATGTTATCAACCTTTATTTATACAGGTAAATCCCATTGAGCCTCGAGGACTCATTTACAAGAGACCTGATTTCAACAAAGAAAGATGACAATGGACAACAGCAACAACAATAAGCAGTTATAAAAACTCATACTACAGATTTTTTTTTTTTAACAAATAGGATGGCTAAAAGGAAAAAGGTAACAAAACAAAAAAAAAAAAACAGCTAGATTCCAAGACAAATGTATAAAACTAAAAACAGGAACATGTCTGCATTGGTCCCTGCCAGGAGTCCAACAGATTCTTAAAGCCACTTAGAGAGGTCAAGGTCGAGAGCTTCAAATCTTTTTGTAAGATATTCCAGGAGACAGGAGCGGAGTAGGAGAAGGCCCTTTTGCCTAGTTCAGTCCTCACTGAGGGAACACTGCAGGTAATAATGTCCTGAGAGCGCACTCCGTAGCTGCACTCACGCAGACATGTAGGAGGAGATGATATTATTGTGAAGATGCACCAGATCCAACCATTCAGAAGAGCTGAAGGCCACCATCAGAGCAACCTGGGCTCTCAGAACACCTGAGCAGAGCCACAGACTGGTCGACTCCATGCCACGACGCACTGCTGCAGTAATCCAGACAAAAGGAGCAACAACCAAGTACTGATGCTGTACATACTCATACTTTTCAGTTGGCCAACATTTATAAAAATCATTTTTTGAGTAATATTCTAATTTTCTGAGATACTGAATTTGGTGTTTTCATTAGTTGTCAGTTATAATAATCAACTAAATATATCAGTCTGTGTGTAATGAATGAATATAATATACAAGTTTCATTTTTTGAATGGAATTACTGACATTAATCAACTTTTTCATGATAGTCTAATTTTATGACCAGCACCTGTATTTGGTGTACTTTGGACAGGAAAAGCACCAAATGATGCATCAAACACCTCTAACCATCAGAACAACTGTGTGCACCCGTCATTTAGTTTTTTTAGGTTTAGTCAAGTTCCATTCGTTGCACGTTTTCATTCGTAACGTTTGCATGTTACAACCCAGTTTACTTGTTTTGTAGAAAGAAACAGACGCTGGGTTTGAAGTTGAACCAACGTTTATTGCGTGAGATTTCAATCTTTCTTGGCAGCAGCCTTCCTCATGGCAGTCAGGACGTTGCTCAGCTCTTCTCTCTTTCTCTTGGCTCGGATGTGAGTGCCGATCTGAAAACAAACAAGCGATGGACCTCAGAGAGGGGTTTTCATAACAAGTGCTTATTGTAAAATCATGTCATGCTCCTGACACGCAGCCCGGCAAGTCTTTATATCAGAACCACGACCCGAGGCCTGACGAATCACTAACGATCCAAACCCCCAGACCGGACCTCATGTCGGTCAGTCTGACAGGGTTCCGAGCCCGGGCTTGAGCCGAGTCCACGTCTGATCAAAGGCAAGAGTCCGGGCTTGAACAGGGTCGGGAGCCTGGACCAGAAGGGACCCAATGATGTCACACGAGAGGGGGACAAATAACTTTTAAATCCTGACCTGAACGAGCATCTTCATTAGTGGACGTGGCGTGAAGGATCTAAAGAGCAAATCTTCTTCCCAGGTGCTCTCATATGGACTGCGAAGACCAGCACCAAGTGTATGGGTCTGGTGACGGGTGCATGTTGTGGACGTGAAGATTGAGAGAGCACCAACCACCCAGAAACAATCAACATGCCTTTGTTGCTCCAACTTTCAAATTCACTTTTCTTTTTAAATCTATGAGAAATGTTTGGCCCCGCCCACTGACACTCACCGTTATTGCTGTTCAATGTTGTTGATGAATAAAATTGTGTTTATGTCTGAAGCCTATATAATTTTTTAAATCTTTCTTTCATTTTCTTTTACAACGCTCTCACACAACCATCTGCACGAACAATCTCCACAAGCCGGACACTTCCTGTATTTACTGCAGTCCTGTGGGTCCAGAGAACCTGGGCCCGTTTGTCTACGCTCTTATTGTGAAAAACAAAACAGACTTCACGTGGTCACGTCCCCTTTGCTTCACAAAGGCCTCTGAGCTTCAGTGCCAGACACCAGCCAGTCCCTGACAGGTTTCAGGGGCTCGTGGCACAAATGGATCAAACGTTCAAGTCTTACATCAAGATAAATTAAATGTTTCTACAACAACCGTATTGGTACTTTTGTTATTGCATCATGGGAAAATATACACAAGTTTTTACCTGTTTGTACCAAGTTTTGTTGTGACCCACATGTTTGATTCACATTTTTATTGTTCTACAATTCATTTTTATGTCAGTCTATAAACCTGCTCCATTTAAGAGACAACTTTTCTTTCTTTTTTTACATAAATATATCCTTTCAGTGAACCTTAATTTATTTTATCAAACCCCAGGACTGTGCTGAATGGATAACGATATGTGGTAAGATGTTAAGTCGTTTAAAGAGTTGGTGCAAATTCCCCCTCACGCTGCAGGTTGTCAGCATCTGACTGGATGCAGGTAACTTGTCAGATGTACCACGGCTGACCAGAGGTTTTGGGCTGCAAGTGCATCATTTCAAATGGAAATGTACTTTTTGGTGCCGTTACGTTGCATGACAAACCATCAGAATAAAACGGAAAAGAGCCACCAATATCCATCACCTAAAAACACTCTTCCGCTGAACACCAGTCAGGAAAAACAAGATGCGAGCCTGTCAGAATCCCACAGATATTTAGTTTAAATGTGACTATATCTCAGTTAATGTTAACGCAGATGAACTTTAGAGGGAAACGAGCTGCAGCTATAAATTCGACAGGACAAATTTCCTGTAAACATAAAATGTGTCTTATTTTATCAAAGAGCTGCTTCTTCCGTCTCATATGAAACTAAAGTGAGGCAATTAGGGGTTTTAAATTTATGACTTCCAGGCAGATTTTTCAATGTAACTGCTTCAGACTAGTTGTTGGGTTGAATAAATTTTCATTGTTATGCTGATGATACAGTTATTTGTCCATGAAACCCATTGAAGCCAATCAGCTTCTTAAACTACAAGCATGTATTAAAGACGTAAAAACCTGGACGACCCTAAATGTTCTGCTGTTAAACCCAGTTTTTGGACCTGAGCATCTTATGAATACATTTTTCAGTCTTTCACCCTCCTTGGATGGCATTAATCTGGCCTCCAGCTCTAATGTTAAAAATCTTGGTGTTATTTTTGATCAGGACATGTCTTTTATCCCCCACATTAAAAAACTTAATAGAACCACCTTCTTCCATCTGCGTAATATCACTAAAATTAGAAACATGTCTAGAAAGGATGCAGAAAAACTGGTTCATGCATTTGTCACAACTGGACTGGACTATTGCAACGGTTTATTATCTGGGTGTCCAAATACGTCTTTAAAAAGTCTTCAGTTAATCCAAAATGTTGCTGCCAGAGACTTAACTGGTTAGTAGGAGAGATCATATCTCTCCAGTTTTAGCTTCTCTAAACTGGCTCCCTGTCAAGTCCAGAACAGAATTTAAAATCTTACTTCTAACATACAAAGCCCTCAACAACCTAGCTCCATCTTATATTACAGATATTATTGGTCCATATTTTCCTCACAGAGCACTTCGCTCTCAGACTGCAGGTTTACTTGCAGTTCCTAGAGTTTCCAAAAGCAAAATGGGAGGAAGATCTTTCAGTTATCAGGCTCCTCTCGTGGAACCAACTTCCAGTTTCTGTCCATAAGACTGACACATTGTCCAGTTTTAAGACTGGACTTAAGACTTTCCTTTTTGATAAATCCTATAGTTAGGGTTGGCTGCCATAGACTTACGACTACTAGAGAACAAATTGACCTCATTTTCTTAAATGAATTGTTAAAATTGAATAGTTTTCATTTGATACTATTTCTATTTTAACATGTGATTCTTGATCTGCCATTGTGTATCTGTTCCTCTCAAACCCAGCCGGTCGAAGCAGATGGCCGCTTGTCCTGAGCCTGGTTCTGCTAAAGGTTTCTTCCTCATAAGGGAGTTTTTCCTTTCCGCTGTCGCCTTCATGCTTGCTCAAGATGAGAGTCTGCGATGGAGTTAAATTCAAAGCGGTCTGCTCCTCAGATAAATAGTGTTAACTTTCTTTTTTTATACATATGCTTCTGTACAGTGCCCTGAGGTGACTGCTGTTGTGACTTGGCACTATACTGGTACAATTAAACTGAATTTAATTGAAAATGAAGCTCTGGTTTCTGACTGGATGTTTGGGCATTTTGCAGATCATATTGTCAGCTGCTGTGCCCACGTCCTACCTGGACTCTGACAGACATCGGCATGAATATTTGTGTTTTTGGTCACTTAGTGCTGACTACGTATGTGATCAATGGTTCAAACCGAGCCAGTGCCGCAGTAAGAGGCAGCTAAACAGGACCAGATGTGGCACTCACCCTTTTCTTGATGAACTTCAGGGCTCTCTTGTCCTTGGACACCTTGAGCAGCTCCATGGCTCGCCTCTCGTACGGAGCAAACCCACACACCTCACGGATCATGTCACGAACAAACTTGCTGTGTTTGGTCAGCCTCTGGACACGGGTTTAAAGACAGGTCAGCCTTTATGTTCATGCTCATAACATTGTGCCTTGACGGCCCGGGAAAGGAGACCACACTCACCCCTCGCCGACGGCTGTGTTTGGGGGTAGCCACGTTCTTGGTGACCGGATGACCTTTCTTAAGGCCCACTGCCATGGGGTAGCGGATAGCCATGTCTGAGAAGAAACAAAGTACAAACGTCAACTTTATTAATTCGCCTTACACATTTGAATGATAAATATCAGCTGATTGAGGCATTCCCATATGGACCAATTCCCATTTGGCTCCTCAGATAAATAATGTTAATTTTATTTTTATGTATATGAATGTTTGTGTACAATGCCCAGAGATGACTTCTGTTGTGACTTGGCGCCATTTAAATAAACTGAATTAACTTAATAATGATGGATATTGAAAAATACAGCTAAAACCTAAACCTGAGCTTGTCTGGAGCGAACGTCTGCAGTTTTAGTGTGGACATGAAGCGTTTCTGCAAATTGTCCATTATATTTTTGTTTATAAAAATAATCGCCTGGGTTAAAGGACCTTTAGTTCCAGAGGACTTCCCTCATGCACATTAAAATGTTACGAAAGGTTTCTTTATGTGGAGCAGAGCTCATACAGCTGTTTACATTCAGTAATCTGTACGTTTTAAAAGCTGACGTGCTGTCAGAACCGAACCGGCGACAACAACGTTTTACCGACAGACTGACAAACAATATTGAGAACGGATGTTAAGTAAAGTCGTTTAAAGCCTCTCGCTTAAAAATCCACGTCAGAAGATGAAGGATGGCAAAGATTTGAAGCAGATTTCAACTAGAATTTAAAGCGATAATGAAAACCTACCTACTGCTTGATGGCGTTCGAACCGGAAAGACTGATGTTTTGAGGGGGCGGGGTTTGAAGGGTTTACCCCGGAAGTGTAAGATTTTCTTCTTCTTCTTCGGTTTTCTTTGGTGGATGGCATTCAAATTTTTGAAGCATTACCGCACCCTGCTGGTTTGAACTGTAAACTGGAATGACGCTCAAAAAAACAAAATAAAAACAAACAAACAAAAATCAATCAACCTTTATTTAGACAGAATCTCATTGAGCCTCGAGGACTCATTTACAAAAAGAACATCTATCCATAAGGATGAATAGATAAATAAATAAATAAACAGAACTCATATTCTTTCAAACAAGTGAGTCCGTTTCAGGTATCTCAACAAGATGTTGGTGCTTTCAGATCTTGAATTCCCTTGGCTTGTAACAACACGAACAACAACGGGTCGTATCTTACTAATAATAATTAATCATTTGCCTTCTTTCATGACTATTCCTTGCAGATCAGTAGCACATGCTCTATGGTCTCATCTTACCCAAGGTAATCACATTTACCGGTGTTATGCTTCCCTATCATGTCCTGTTCAAGCCTGTGTGTTTAAATCTGAGATGTGATATGACCATTTGTGTAAGTTTTTTTTCTCCACAATATTTATTTTAACCAAAGGGACCAACAGACATGATATAAAACCATTTATCTGCCCATTAAATCAGACCCAAGTGATGGGTGTTGTGATGTCGTGATGGGCATGTGATGGGAGCTGTCCCAAGTGTCCTGTCATATAAAGATGGGGCTGCTTCGTGTCCTTGATGTGCAACTGATGCTCAGATTTGTTTAGAACATGCACATTTAGGAGGAAAGCAATTATCAAAAGGAAATACATATTTCAGAAATAATTTAAAAGATAAAACAAACTTGTGTTCCTTCCATGCACTGAATAAGGACATTGCCAACAAATTAAATGGGCTCCCTTGATTCTTGGCTGTTATTAACGGCCAAGTTCTGATTGTCAGTAACGACAGAGGAGCTCCCAGTGCTGCGTCGCTGCCATGAGGAAGTCGAGCGAGCCCGAACCAATAAACAGTTGAGAACTCATCTGGAAGGTATGAAAACAAAGGAGATTGACCAATTGATGAGAGTGGCCTTTCAATTGCATGCCAGTTTTGAGCTAAACAGCAGCTGCCAACTTATTAGACTTGCACAGCTAAACTATAAGGATCATGAATATGACAGCATAAGTAATATTCAATCAACAGACCAAGAAAAATCTGAAAATCTTCAGTAAAATAGGAAATTAAAATGTTTTAACTCAATACTTTTAACTTTAGGGTTAATTTTTTCATATTTACAGAATTTGAATCCCTCTAGTCTCTAATAACTCTTATCTGAGACATTGTCAAGCCCTGTGATTACATGAAATGTTTTTTTCTCTTAAATATAGTTCATTAACGTTATTAATACCTCAATGCAAATATATTACAATGTGTTAAAATAATAATAATAATAATAAATACACCAAACTGTTGAAAAACAAACTGTTCTTTTTTTATTGTTCTCATCCGTCAACCAACTTCGTTCAGCTTGTAATTTCACACGTGCACATTTATTCCCATGTAACTCTCAAAAACACACAGAACAGCTACTGAAATATCAATATTTGTTTCTGAAGCCTTAGACTGATTTCAAAGTTAGCTGTGGACTTGTTTTTGGAATTTTACTAATTGAGCTTTTTTTTGTTGTTGCAAATTTTACTGAATTTATATATTACATACAGGTGCACATCCAAACTTTACACTTTTTCAAATGCCCTATAAAAATGAACCAAGAGAAGGTGCACACGTTCTGTACATGTTTTGGACAAAACAACTTTGCTATCCTTTATATTCCTCAACCTGCCCAAACTCTTTCAATACAAATACTACAGGTAGTGTTCCTGTCCGTTCTTCTTCTCCAGATCCTCTCAGTTGTAAATCTCTTCTCAGTGAAAAACACCTGTAAATAAACTTATTTACATTCTGTAGCACTGTAAGGTACCCCCAGTATTATTCAACAAAATCTGATCTCAGTGGTGATATAAAATCCTGCCAATTTTTCCAGTAATTCTTAAATTTGCCAGATTCTAATCAGATGGAAAAAGTCAGTCATATAAACATTATGCATTACATCAACTCAACCTTCCATTTTAGGGGCCTCTGCCTTCAGCCATTTCCTAGTAATGTTTTTTTTTTGCTAGCCACCAACATGATTCCATAAATATATTTGTCAGCTGATTTTGTTACAAACTGAGCATTTATAAATGACAGGTACAAATGTTGTCCTACAGAGAAGTATTGCTCTCTGTGGGAACAAGAACATGGCTTTGCATGAACTGAAAAAAACAATTAAAATAAACTAAAACACATACTTCCATACTTGTGCATATTTTTGTACACAAACATTCAGCTCCAAACCAGAAACGTGTTCACTGCTTCAACATGCGTGAATGAAAAAAACAAATACATTCAGACACTTCCGGTTCTTTATTGCTTATTTCACCATCCATTTAGTGTGAAAGATTAAACTATTTTCAGTCATTTGCCATTAGTTATACGTTTGAATTTGATGGTTTACATTTGAATACCCGTATGAATTGACTGGACACTATTCTGTTCATTTCTGTCCTCCCATTGTAATATTTGTTGGGTACCAAATGGCATAACCTGATCTAAACTATGCTGAACTCAAGGGAGTTTTGATGAAGCAGTATGCTGTCCATTGCAGCGCGCAGTTCTGGGTATGAACCGTATGTCCGTGGCAGTTCCAGAGCTGGCCCACAAGTATGTGCAATAATAGGCCGCCTTTCCAGACCTACTGGTGTAAACAGCACCTTGATTTTGTTAACACAAATAACATCTGACCCCGTAACAAACCTTAGCATCCTTCTGAGTCCTGCGTCGTCCAGTCCTCTGATGTACTGCTGTAGGAAACGAAAACGTCGATTCTCTGCTTCAGTTGCAGGCGACGCATCCAGTAACTTTAAAAACCTTCTGCTTGTTGGCCTTTTTTCTTCATACATCTGCAGGACAGCTTGTGGGCTAGAAAATGATTCCTTTAAAATGTGGCTAGCAGTTGAAGACATTTGTTCTGCAGCATATCTTGGCTTTTGGATCAAGTGCTTGCGCGCTGCATTTACAAGGATTCTTTTCAAACTCTCTTGTGTTGGAAGTTTTGTCACATTTAAGCGATCCAAAAGATCAAGAAGTTCATCTAGGTCCTCATCTAGACAGTCTGCGTTTAAGGCGGTGGTCACAAGCTCCCTGTCTGACTGACTGACGTACAGGAGAAGGCTTTCAAACAGCATTTCATCTGAGACTTCACTCTCTCCAAAAATGAGAGCAACAGAAAAAGCCGGGGCAAGGCGGCAAGGAAAGTATCCATGATCTTTAAATCCCTTAAGCAGGATCCGGCCTATGGATCTCCATTCTTCTTTCTCCCATTCATTAGGCAATGATGGGACCCTCGCTTCCTCCCCCTCTGCTATGCGGTCCATAAACTCAGTCCAAAATGCGGCATACGCATCTCTTGAGACACCATCTTGATCAACTCCCTTTTCATCTATAAAACAAAATTTCAGGGTTTGTCTCAGGAGCGTTTGATCCTTAAACTGCACTATCATCTCCTCAAGAAGATTGCTCCTGTGAAGTTTTACGGTGGCACACATAATTCCACATGAAGCTGTATTTGTTGCTTCATCACCTGGTGCTGGAGTGAAGTGTGCTGTGCTTGTGGAAGCAAGTTCAACAGATCTGAAGCCTGACTCATCTCCTTCAAACTGTATGCCATCAAGTTCACCAGCCTTGGGTTCTCCATGGACTGGACCAAAAGTCACCTCAGATGTGTTGGACAGCACATCTGGATCAAGTTTAAAGTCTGATGACAGAATGGCAATGGTTTCAGTTACTTGGTCATCTTCATGCACGTCCATCACTTCAAGATTATTTCCATCAGATTTCTCCCCACCATTATCCTCACCATCCGAATTGATCAGACTTTTAGTGCACAAGTAAAATCTTAACATCCCTAATCTCATTACAGCGTACAATTCCCCCACTGTGGTATTGTCATCCAACGCAGCTTCTTCCTGGAAGTCCAATATGTCATGACTGTACGTCTCAAAACGTCCAAATCTACATTTTCCATTTGGGAAGAAAAGATCTTTGGAATACTTAATAAGATCTGATTTCTTTGAATCTTTGGGTACATCAACTGCCCATGTTCCTCCTCCCTTGCGTTTCCTCACTTGTTTGCCTTCATGAATCCATCCCAATTCAATTCTTCTGGTCTTTTTTTCAGCCAATTTGTTGCGCTGCATGTATGGTCTTTTCTGCTTTGGTTTGGTTGTCTCAGCTTGATCTGAATTTGTATCATCATTACTATCGACGCCCGTCTTCCGCTTTAGCTTTTCAAGCAGGGAATGTTTTTTGGAATCTTTTGTATTTGCACCTTTATTTTCCAAACAGAAGTGTCTTGCTGCGATTCGATCCCCATACGCTGGGATGTAACCAGAGAGAGCACCATCATCCATGCAGTCAATAACTATTGCATCAATCTGTGGAGACAGAAATTCATATAAGAACTCTCAGACAAGCTTGGTACCTACTGCTACATCCTGTGGCCACACAGGGAGGGGGCACGCGCACACAAACACGTTTAAAAAAATTTTACGCATCCTTTATGATTGTCTATTGTTGTCATTGTTGTCCACAGCTGTCATCACTCTGTGTAAAATTCAGGTCTCTCTCTAATCAATCCCATTGAGCCCCGAGGCTCAATGGGATTGATTAAAGGTTGAATTAATGTTACATATGCAAAATGTTTTTTTTTTTTCAGAGCGTAAAAGTATGTTATTCAAAGTGTTTAGCATAATTTTGCTGTTTATATGTAATAAATGTATGTTTATATTGTTTAAAAACGGCCTCTGTTTTACGCAATGTGGTGGGTTGCCAGTTGGGCTTGTTTTTATATAGCTGGTTGCTTGTTTCTATCGCGAGATCTGGCAACACAATTTCTCTCACACACCATGAGGTTAAGGTGAA